TAATGATATCTATCAAAACGCCTGCCATTTGATATAAATATATAAAATAACACATTTCTAAAAAATGAGGCATTGTAATTAAACTTTTATTTAAAAATGACCCCTGATTTCAGATAACTAGCTTTGACATATTTTAGTTACAAATTGTAACGTTTTGACAAATTTAACACCTAATGCAACTTTTAATATGTACAGATTCTTTAAAATATAAAACGATTATTTCTTTTTAGCTTGTTAAAATATTAATAACCACGATTTAAATAAGTTTATTAAAGTTCATATGATATAACTTTTAAGGATTATTTTTGACAAAATTATTACTGAATTAAATTCTCATAAGTCATTTAATACATAAAGTGTTTAACTCCATATAAACATTCTTTGAAACTTGGCTTTCTTTAAGCTAAGTGTGTTGTGATTTTGTTTCTACGATAAGAACAAATACTTGAAATTTCTATATGACCGTAAAAGTGAATCGCAAATGATTAAATGCTTTTGAATGCAATGATAGAAGTCATGCATTGTATTCATATATTTAACTTCTTCTCATATTGCATATCAACGAAGCTGACAATTCGAAGCTGTTTTTTGTCACTGGTTTGGTAAGTGCTCCTTCGGTGACGTTTTGACGAGCTAAATTTTAAAGTTCCTAACATGAAATATGGCTTTCGAAAGTTCAATGGCAAAATATTTCTTCCAAGATATATATGCAAAGCAATCACTATTCTTAATGAAAAAATGAAACATTATTTCACGTAAGAAATATTAAAGTACTATATTTTTATCATTATGAAATTTCTTTGTATCCTCTAAAATCATGTCATTGTGAATTAAATATTGAAAACAAGCAAAAAATTTGAATTCCTATTCTGAATCGTAAAATGGATAACTTTGGGTATTTTCAGTAAATTTAATTTTTATTAAAATAAATTTATAAAATCTCAAATATGGTATTTTAATGAACAAAATGAATTAACTAGTTATTTTTCTTCCCGTTATATACTATGAACTCCGAAAAATTGATATTAACGTAAACTTGATCAATTCAAAACATTTAATTTTATTTGGGGTTCATTATATTTAAACAAACTCAGACATCGTATTGCACTAAAATATCGTTTAAAAAACCATGACGAAGTGGTGTTTATTTTATTATTGCTCAGTACCAGGAATTATGAAGTAATGTTTTTTTTGAAAAATGGATCACAAAAACTATTCGACTGACCCTGATTTTCAAGATGCACATGCATTGCAAGGCAAATAAGTTTGCACACAATTTCAAATTTTGAAAAAGTTTTATATTTAAAAATTCTCTCAATGTCTCCATCCTATGACATATAACTTATCTAACCTTCTTTTTTCTAATAGTACATTGAAATAAATTGTTGAGATGGGTGAAATTATGAGCAGTCCTATGAACTGAAATTAGCCATGAATTTATTGATAACATATAAATCTAAATTATCTACAGGTCATTATCTGCAATAGATATTTTTGCTCACACCTTAAAAAGCGTTTTGAAAAATGTTATTAAGTTACGCGATTGGTTGAAAATTTCACAATGTTTTGTTATCGACCAAACGCTAATATTCTGACAACAAATGTTATGAATGATTACTAATTACAACCTTGATGTTTGGAATTAATAGAAATATATCACACAAGATTGTAACATTAAAAATGACCTTCATTTTATAAACATAAAAGCTGGTCATATCTTAAAAATATAATTTAATTTTAAAATTGAGATATTGGTTACTGAAAATAAATCTTAAATTTGAGAATTACAGGCATCTTTAATTGAAAATTTTTCTGAAATTAAATTAAGGGACTTATTTACAGCCACTTGCAATTATCTATTCTAACTCTTCATATTTTTAGTCAAAATTTAGATCAAAAAATATCTAAATTAATTTTGAGCGACATTTACTAATTTAATTAAACCCTATATGGGCTGTCCGGAATCTTTATTTGTACGATTTTCGGAATGTAACTTTCATTTGAAAAAGCAAAAAAATGTTTTCAAATAATAAATAATTGTGGAATGTGCAAAATGCTATGTACTTCAAAAAAATAATTCAAAGGAACAAAGCCTTCTCTCTTCATCCTATTTAAATTATTCATTAAAGAATTCTTTTGTTTAAATTTTTAAAATCATTAGGCAAAATATCTTCCAATATCTTTTGAATGCAATTAAAATTCTTGCAACGAAATGTATTCAAATGGGTTAAGAAAAGGTCTCTTGAATACTGTAAATAGCACATGAAACCCCCCAAAAGCAAATACTCACCAAGAAAGAAAATATGTGGTAAAAGTAAAAGAGGCATAACACTTTATATTCTTGACGAAGACAGTGGCAAAGGACACATCCTGAAATTCACACTCAAGTGTGTGTGCATTTATATGTACAAACCTGGAATGGATGGTTGGGTTAAGTTGAATCGATAGCTAGGGAGCACTTTCGTTCAGAATCGGTGTTGACTAATCGTAGACACACTGCGATATTGTGTTTTGCGGCAACAGAGTAGGTTGACAAGTTCAACCCTAAACGGTTTGCTAGTGAGGAGATAAATAAAAAAGTTTGAAAAGCTGTCAATAATAATTAGTAAACGGAGATAGATATTTAGAAATTTGCCAAATAGTTCAGAAATTGCCGATTTAAAGACAACGGCAAAGAAGACTGGGGCCTCGCAGACAATGAACACTGTTGCAATAAAAATTATAAATCTTGTCGCCCGAATTTGGTTGGGTAATCTTTGTGCATGTCGAACTGTTTGAATAGACTTGACTACTGAGCCGGTTCCATTCTCCTCCTTTCCTGGTGTGCCATTACTTCCTCTTTTCCCTTGAATTCTGCAACAATTCCACGATTTCTCTTCATCATTTGTGCAATTAAATGCATTTCTTTGTTTTGTTTTCTTCTCGGAGGGCATACGGTGTCGTAAAAGAGCAACTATCATAAATAGTGTTGCAATTGTAACCACAGTTATAGGAATGGCTGATTGGTAGGCAAAGAATGTATTTTCAATGATTTTACTTGTCCTCGAATAACTACTTACATTTGGGAAGTGAACAATTGAGTCCAGATTTGTACATATTACCATCGGGCGAATACTAATACGAATTGTTGCCATTATAACACCGATAAGGATAAATATAACAATATAAATCAATTGTCGCCGGGGGCTGAAGATGTGTGTTGAAATGCGGGTAGCAACGGGCCTGGTAATAACTTCACACCGAGCTAACGCGATAAAGGTTACAGCCCAGTTACGCGAGCACGTAGCAGAGTTGACAGATAGGAAAAGGATGAATGAAAAACATAATTCCGGAAGCTTTTCGTGCTTTTCAATAACATATAAATCCCAGAGCTTATTCACGAGAATCGTAGAAGTGAGCCACATTTCAATAGCTGTTAACGTCACAAGGCTCTGGCGCATTGAGCCGAATCGGGTCGCTCCGGGTCGTGTTAGGACCCCGAGTGCAATGGCTTCCAATACCACTGCAAAGGCTGCCAAAACCATAAGTGTGATATGGGCTTTGCTGCTCTGAACTTGATCGTATTCGTTAGTACGATTTAATATCGCTGGATCGCATGTATCTGAGTAATAGACTAATACATTAGAATCATTTCTGTTCATGTCAAGTGTTCTAGGCGGCATATCGTTTGACATAATATTTGTCATAGTTGAAGCTGTCACTGTATGATTTTTTCACTGGCCTGTTATGTCAGGTCAGTTTCAGTCATTGGTTTTCGCTTGCTTATGCAATTCCTACAGCCGCTTTCTCATCGGCTGAACCGCACGACCAATTAGATTGCGGCTTTGCTGAATGGCTGTTTTCGATCTAATTTATTACTAATGCTATTTAATGAACACTTGGGGTTATTCTCATTTATTGCAACGATTAAGATTTTCATTTCATTTTGTTATTGCATTTTAGTAAATCCTCTTCAGAACATTATACCAAATTAAATATTCAATATATGCTAGGAATCTCCACACGTTCCCTTAATCTGGATACCCAATAGCATTACCATAAGTCAGAAAAATGAAAGGACATTTTATTGCCAAGACGAAACGTTGGTATAATTTAATTTTAAAAATATTATAGTACCAGAAAATTAAATTTAAAAGGGGGCGCTAATTTCAATATTAATGGTATAATAGGATTATAGCCAAATTTATACTATCAAGAACTAATTTTCAATGAGTTCCATAATTATTTTCCACTTGGTTACACATATATAGTTCGAGTATTATATTTCATAAATGGTGTTCATGCGCTAAGGTATACCTATTTTCAAACTGAAATATTTAATATCATGAAGTCCACACATTAAAAACTGGGTAAAATGTTTTCATGAGTCCTTAGCCCCTCAACTTTCAGTATGCACATTTTTATACATCCACAAATTAAAAAAGGAGTTAATTGAACTCTTTTTACAATTACAAAATGATTTAACAAATTTCACGTACTTTAAAAGGATTAAGATTTATTGTCATTTATTTTTTAAAGTTATATTAAATTCAAGTTATTAAAATTCATTATTTTGCTTTTAAAGCGAAATTAATACCTGTTGTGGGATAAATAAATGTGTTTTGAAAAGTTCTATTTGCAAATTTCCTCGTGTGAATTCGACCTATTGGAACTCTAATAAATTTTATTTAATGATGATATATATGAAACCAGCCATTGAGGAAGATTACGGAAACCAGAGCAGTTATCCTGAAATTCACTTAGTAATGTTATATAGAAATTATCGCCTGTTAGGGTTAATGACGTCTAACACAGTTGAACTGGACTTTACATATCATTTTGACAATAATTAATCAAAGTAATCAGTTAACTAATGATCATATAATTTGCATAACTCATGCCAAAGCCAAACAATTGAAAATGAAGGGAAATGGGTTTGAAAAAGTAAACATTTTTAGGGGGCTGTTGCTGGCAAGTGTGCAATTATTGTAATTTCGGAATATCATAGTTGATTTCACTTCGAAATGCTAGACAAATCAGTTCAAAGGCAAAATATTATTTCAGATTGACACGTTGTCAGAATCGATATTTTAAGCCTCATGAGTTATTAATTTTAAATTTAAATTAGTGCTCAATTTTAACAATCTACCAACCTTAAAATATACATCTGCAATTTAAATGAAATTTATGCGTAATTTGTTCATTATATAAAATTAAACAAGCACTGGATTAAGTTTAAATTAACCCAAAACAAAATTTATAAATGAAAATGTTTTCAGTAGTTTTGGTAAGAGCGATAAATAAAAGAAGGTAAAAAAGACATTAATAAGATCCCGGAAATGCTAGCAATAAATTTTAAGATCTATTTTCTTCTACTCTTCTCTAAGCAGATAAATTTAATAATGTTAGGTAATCAAATGGCAATAATTGCAAAAATTATTAGTCTGGAAAATAGGGCAAGTGACACTTGTTGGTGATGAATGTGTAAGCAAGCGTTTCTGGAGGAAAACTTTATGGTTTAAAACATGTAAAATACGTGAAATACGTGATGGGTTTTTGGAAAAAAATTAATTGCGGCAAGGATCTGCGTGAAATTAATATTTGCTTTTCGTTTGCTGCAAAATTTTATTTGTTTTTTTAAGTCATCCTTTGTTTAAAAAAAATAATATGAATTTCCATTCGTTTTTCAAATATGAGTTGAATCGCTACATGGAGTTTTTGTCTTTATTAAAAATGATAGTCCCTTTAATTCAAACTATATGAATGCCATCAAACCTCTTATTGGGAATTTGAAAAACCATTTAATTTAGTGTTAAAGATGGTTAGAAAATATATAGAAGATATTTTCAAAATTTCTGACCTGATCACAATTTTTATAATATTTGGGACTTTACCTCAATTATCTCATTACTATAGCATATAACAGGTTTGTGGTATCTGTTGTTTAAATTTGCGTTCCAGTAAAGTTTGGAATAAAAAACAGCAAAATTATTTATGTAACATTAAAATTGTACTGATATATGTCTTACTTTGCCATACATACTAGCTGTTAGCATGTTTATATCACCTATTAATAGGGGTGCGCGATAGACTAACTTCCACGTGGTGCACTCTGGGCAACGTGTACTCATACGGCAAAAAAGTCTATTAACTGGCAGTTGACTTCTAACTTCTAACTACTATGACCCACTGTATGTCATATTCGACCCCTTCCACAGTACTCATCTTACCTTTTCTCTGCCTTTGTGTCTGTCTGACTCTTTCACATCTGTTAATCAATATTCTGTCCCTCCTCTCGACTTTTTGTCACTCTGATGTTCCTCCTCCCCACTGTGAAGTCCGAAGTCAGCTAAAGGGCTAATGATAACTTTCAAAACGACTGCCTTTTGAGATAAATAAATACCACCTATTAATATAATTGTTCTAAAGCCTTTACCAGAAAAAGGGTTTACTAAAACATTTAATTACATTTTTTGATGAACTAATGAATATTACAAAAACAGATCATTATGCTGACACTGCTTTAATTTTTCAATGACTTTAAATATTACTGTTATTCCATTTGTAATAAATCACGAAAATAAACATTTTGTTGATATCCCATTGTTAAATTAATTCAATGTGAAGGGTAGGTTATTTCTACACATAAAAGTTTACTTATTTGTTCAAGACGTCCTAAATATTCCGATTTGTACTTGTTGGATTGGATTTATTTGAATCAATATTCTTGCCATATCAATCAATCTATGCTTTTGAAGTTAATGAAAAATAAACTTTTAATTTTACGAAGACGTTGGGGCAAATATTTTAGTGGGTATGCGAGAAAAAATTTACAATTGTTTATTCCATTTAAATTCATTCAATTGCATTTGAACTTAATAAAGGATAGCATTTTAATTGTCAATAAAGCTGAAGTTTACGGGGTTTGAATTTCATGGCATTCTTTATGATCAACCAAGAAAGTAATGCTTATGAACGCCTTCTTTGGCTTTCACGCTGGACATGGTAAGCGCTTTTATTTGCAACAACGTCGAATTTCATTGTTCTGATAATGATGGGTGTCATTTAGGAACTAAAAATTGACAATGAAGTGGACAATCATTGTGATCAAAATTGAATTTATGTCACAATAAGCAAATATCGACATATGTGTGCAAAAGTATATAATTATCGCGTCCTCTTACTCAACAGATTCAACATTTGGACATTTTTTAAAGAAAGGTGATTGTTCTTCTCTAAATTGCAACATATGGTAATCCAGAGTAACTATTTACAAATCTAGAAAAATTATATTTGCATTCCATTATAAAAGATATTGCGTGTTTAGTTAATCTGCAGCACAGACTTTAATAAAAAATACCTAAAAACATGAAATTAGAAATCATTTAAATAAAATATTTATTAAATACATATTATACGTCTCGAAATCAAAATGCAAATGGTTTGAAATTATTTGCTTTTTCAAATATCTACTCCATTATCTGAGTATTTAAATTTTTTGTTTGAAAAAAATGTTTCAAAATTGAAAAGAAAAACAGCAAATAAATGATTCCAAAATTGATACAAATGGGGAGATATTTTATTGGATAATTAAACATTTAAACTCGATTGCTGAATTTTGAAATAAAAATAGTGTTGTTTTGCTAAATTTAAAGTATTTTAATTTCTTATGATTCTCTTATCGTACTCATAGGCATTTAATTGTAGATTTTGGGTTAGAATGTTTAAAAAATCCTATTTGCATCTAAATTATTCATTTGCCTTCTTAAAATAAAAATCTCCCCAAAGGGGATTCAATAATCTCAATCGACAATTTTTTTAAAAAAATATAAACAAACGCAAATTTTTACTTTTTCCATACTAGCAGACTGATAATATATATACTTTTCATAATTTGTCAAATTGCTCTTAAATATTTCTTACTAAAATAACCTGAAATCGATTAAATTTTTTGCTTTATTAAAGCGATCATTTCTTGATTAAGCTTGCAGATTTAAAATTTTTGTTTTCAACCATTCCCAATTGAACCACCCTCAATTATATGCCTCAAAATGCTTGTAATGTGAACTTCCTGAACTTCAAAACAAAAATGATTTACATCTAATGGTTTCCTATTAAAAATCTGTTCATATCTATGCTACTTCTATTTCAAAGCCAACCCAGTAAGTGATAACAATTCAGATGGCTGGTTAACCAGTGCAAATGCATTTTATCTCCAATCAATAAGCTCCCCACAATTTACAATAATGGAAAACGCTGTCACCAATTGAGCTTGTCATTTCTAATCGTCTAATTGAGTTTTTAACCTTTAGAATTTCTACTCTAGATTGCTGATCAAATCTATGATCAGTTCATATCCAAATAGGTTTTATTTGTGTCTTAATGCATTTTCGTGTTATTCTCATGAAACCGAATTAATAGCTTTAACCTAAGCTAGTTATTTACTATTCAATTTTGATTGATAACTTGAAGTCTTAAAAACGCTTATACTTAGCTGAAATCGAATGGTCAGATATGGTTGCTTAGAGGTTTTGCTTGATAAACCGCAATTTAACTAGAAATAACTGCATCCAATTTGAGTGGATACATTTTTTGCTCTAAATTTTGTTTTAAAATAGAATTCTAATGCGATTAAGATAAGTTTCGTCTTTGGAGAATCAATTTACTTTGACAAAGTAGGATCATATAGGTAAGTCATATCTGTTTA